TTTGGCTCCTTTTGATAACATGTTTTATCACAACTTCTTAGCCCTTTTGATCTGGATAGAAGATCCGAACCTTTCATCAAGCTTGTGTTAGGAAGGAACAAGCACCACAGTGTGATGAATTCTAAACCCACGAAATTTCAAACAAAAAGTGCAATATGTATATGTTGTTAAGAAAACAAGGCGAAAGGTCTCAGTAAGACTACTTGTGAAGACTTTGCTACTGGCTGGCTGGCTTGCAATCAACAAGAATCATGCGGTCGCATTTGGGCTGGCAATTTTTCCCTGGAAGTCTATCTTGATCACAATGGCATCAGAGCCTAGAGCTTGGATGTGGTGGAATTTCCTGTATCTGAGTTACCTCCTGTGTTTTAAATCCTACATACGCCTACCGCTACAGAGTCTGTGAACTTACTATACACCCTGAGATAGAGATGGTGCAGCATGAGCCTACTCAGAATGTAGAGATGGTGCAGCATGAGCCAATGAAACAAGAACAAGGCAGAGTGCTAAGAAACAAGCAGTTGCTGCTACAAGAACAAGACATGGCCTCACAAGTTTGAGCTATATATCATCTCCAGGTCTGAGTACAAACAGAAGCACAATCACAACATTGTCTGATTTAAAAGTACATGGAGGCCCGGTTGGTCTCCATTTCTCTCTAACATTTTCTGTCGAACAAGACTTACATTTGCAGAGTTTATGAGTTTCTACTACAACGAATGAGTTAAGTTAATGGGCAACGGATAATGGATCAGATCAGGCCACACGAAATGTACAGAATCACTGAAGAACTACACAGGCAACGAAAATATGTTTGGCACGGTCACATATATATCTTCTTCTGCTTTGGTCGGTCCCTCTGCAACTTCTCACCGGATGTGGCTTCTCGGAAAAGAAAAGAGCCCAGCATCACGAGCGGGAGCCTGAATGAGTGTAAGCAAAGTGGTGGCACAAGTTAGAAGTAGTCAAAGGTTCATGTTCTAAAGAAACAAAATGGGCACGCATTGGGGTGCGCGTTGGAGAAAGAGAAAATCCATTGAAATGATTCCAGCTCTTCAAGGAAGCCTACCTGCGCTTTCATTGAAGGGAAAATGTTCCAGAATCTAAGAGTTTCGTCGCCAGCTCCTGTTACTATTGTCTGTACAAAATGGAAGGACGTGTTACATTCCCATATTCACAATGTTCCTAGGCAGGGTGATATTTGATTCTGAATAATGGGATTTACCTGTCCATCGGGGGACGTTGCCAGGTAAAGCACACGCAGTGTGTGTCCAGTAAGAGTCGCAACCTGTTGTTCAAAGTTCTATGGTCAGTAACTGAGGGTGTCATTGTAGTAGTGCACTGATGTACATGTCTCCCCACAAACATTTGCACAGCATCAAAGGTTAGTTCAGCATGCAGTGATACAGATATTAAAAGTTTGAAGCATTCAGTGACTAAAGCAACTCTCATAGAGCCGGCAGGTTAAATAAGGAGTGTCAAGAAGCAAGCTAAGAGAACGCCCAGTTAACTTACAGAATGAATTGTTATTTGCAGTGATTTTTTCCAGCTATATCAGTGAACAAGTTTACAATTATCTTAATACTGAACGTTCCACCAAATGCATATAAGCTTACCTTTGACATAGATGGATACTTCCACACCATTATTTGGTTCTGTGAGTACCCATGGGTACTCACAAGCTCATTCACATTCTTGCACCAGGCAAGGTTACAAACCTGCAACAGAAAGCGGCAATGAGTACAATAGCACAAGTTTATTTAGAGCAACATACATCACAGAGATAGGTCTTGTCCAGAACTATATAGAACTTACCTGGCTGCCTGTGTCAATTGAGTTGAGCATATTTCCATTAGCAGTGTTCCAGAACTTGATACACCTATCAGCCGTCCCACCTCCTGACGCCACCAGGCTGTGCTGGTGGGGTGACCATGTTATCGCTTTAACCGCTGCGGTATGTTCTGTCAGTCGCAGCACCGGCTGCTGCGACCGCTGGTTCCATACTAGAAGCTGGTTGTCATTTCCGCCAGACGCAAGCTCGCGGTCGTCGTGCGACCATTTCAGCCCACAGACCTGGAAAGAAAGATTCATCATCAACTCACATTCAGAGAGAGCTTAAGAAATCCAAGTGTTACACAGGATCGGGATGCTTTGTAATGTGCGATGCAAGTGAGTGGAAGAAGAAGTCTCACCTCTGATCTGTGGCCAGAAAATTTGCTGATGTAGTCAGTAGGGACACGGATGTCATGCTGCAATATGTTCTTGTCCCTGCTGCCGGAGGACAAGATGGTTGAGTTCCAAGCTAGCACCCCCGCCCGGGTCTGGTGCCCTCCCATGTTCCTAATCCGCTTAGAGCGAGAGCTATCCCAAATCTGCCAGAAAAATACACACAGTTATACCTCATGTTCTTGCACAAAAGATTGATTACAGAGTGTTTGCTGAAACTCTTAAGTAACTCAAGTGGAAAACAGTTTGAAAGAAAGTGCAGACAGTTATACGCCATGTCCTTGACACACAAGATTGATTACATCTAATTCAGAGTATTTGCTGAAACTCTTAAGATAACTCAAGTGGAAAACAGTTTGAAAGTACAGGCAGCTATATGACATATGTTGTTGGCACACAAGATTGACAATATCTACTTCAGAGTTCTGCAGACACTCTGAAGCCGACTTACTCAAGTCGAAAATAGTCTGATAGTGCAGACAGAGATGTCAAATGTGAATCAAATCAAATCAGCCTTCCATATACAGTACAGCAAACAAACAAACAGCTCTGTATTGTGATCTACTAGTATTAACAAACAGTGAAAATCTCACAACAATGATCTTAGAGGTGTACGTGATACAGTAAAACAAACAGCTCTGTGTTGTGATGTGCTAGAAATATACTTGAAGCAAATAAAACAAACAGTTTTCCAATTCTCTAATCTTGTGTGCTGTGAGATTTTCTTCCAATGTGCATCAGTGATATCAATTTTGCGAAGTCACGAACCAAACAGTTCAGAGTCCTACGAAAAATATGGACTACATTGTCTAATCTCTTTGCCCTTTGTGAGATTTTGTTGCAATGTGCATCGGTTGAAGATTATACCTGGACATCTCCAAGGCTGGTGCCGACGGCGAGGTAGGAGCCCTCGCGCGTCCAGTGCACGGCGCAGACGCTGTCCCTCGGCCCCAGATCGCACAGCTTGGTGACCTGGATGACGGTGCCATTAGCAATCTGACTCCTGCGTGATCCATGGAAAGAAAGAAAGAAAGAAACGCACCTTGCTGCTGGATGCGGACCAGAGGTAGACGCAGGTGCCGAGGCCGACGGCGAGCATGTTCTGAGAGGACCAGTCGACGAGGTTCAGGTAGAAGTCGTCCTGCAGGGACGGCGCGTCCAGCACCTGCACGCCGGCGACAACCACAGATCGGTTAGTACTAGGTCGGAGAATTCGGTGCGCGCGAGGTGTTTGTGGAAATAGGAAGGCGGATCGAACCTTGTGGGGCGTCTTGGGCACCTTGCGGGGCGCCTTCTTGGGGGTGGGGGAGCCGGCGCCGCCGGCGCAGTCCAGCTTCTCGGCGAAGGGGGAGGAGGGCGCGGAGGAGCGGTCCGTCTTGAAGCGGAAGAGGTTGTTGGAGCCGGGGGAGTCCTGCCTGTCGCCGCCGGGGGAGGAGGCGTCCCCGAAGAGCTCGGCGCGGAGGAGGCGCGAGTAGGCGCTGCCGTCGTCCCTGGAGCCGGAGCCGGGGGAGGAGCGGTCGGCGAGCGCGAAGTTGTGGAGGCGGGACGAGGTCCGGCAGGGGATGAAGCGGTCGCTGTAGGTGACCTTGGACGGCGACGGCGTCTTGGGGATCTCGAGCAGGCGCGCCACGGAGGAGGAGGACGAGGCCGGGGAGGAGGCGTCCAGGCGGAGCGACCCCGCCATCCCCGCCGGCACGTTCAGCCGCCCCGGCTTGGCCCCCGCCCCCGCCCCCGCCCCCACGGACGCGCCGGACGCCGCCGCCGCCATGGTGACCGGACCGATCTGCGTCGTAGCCTAGCCTCTCGCGCTCCGCCGCTCGACCCAGCCGCCGACCAAGAAGCCGGCTTTGGGTGGGGTTTGACCGGCGGCGAGGGGTGGGTGGGTGGCGGCGGCGAGATCGGTGGCGATGGGGATGGGGATTGCTGCAACGGTAACCTGGGGTGGGGTGGAGCGGCACGCGCTGGGCGTATTATACCTGGCCTTTTTCTAATGCGGGCGGCGAGCTGTGTCCGCGCCGGCGAGGCAGAGTAGCCGTTGCCGCTGACGCCGACACGCGGGGCCCGCCCTACGCGTCGCACACAAGCCTCCACCGGATGCAATCTTTGCACATCAATTTTGGAGCGATCTTGCCTTCCTTCCAGCATAAGATTTGATCCTGTGGCAATCTTTCCAGATCAAAAGCGCTAGGTTTTGACAAAATCTGTTGCCAAAAGAGCTTGGTTGTTGTGAAATTTGAAAATGGCTACGGCGGGACGGTGCGCGCGCGTGCGGGATTATGGCGCGACGTCCCCTCTCCCGCCGCAACCCCACCCGCCTCGCCGTGGGGTTTTTGGCGTGCCACCCACTCTTCCTCCAACCCTCCAACCGCCTCACGCCGCGTCGTAGGAGTTTGGCGTGTCGCGCACGCTTTCGCCTCCCCTCCACCCGCACCGTGCAGTTGGATTTTGGCGCGACGCCCATGCTTCCGCCACCCTCTGTCCCCGCATGGTCCAACTATGTCGGGCTCCTTTGTAACCGTAACAACCAGACATTTCTTATGTTGGTTGTTTGAGTATAGTTTCCAAAAATAACGAAACAGACGCACACGGACTGTATTCATTCTTCACGGAAACGGTAAATTTACTCCCGAATGTCTAGCTTTGTCTTCGTCATTTCTGACACAATTGATATGCCCATATTTATACGCGAGTTAATGATGTCTCCAAACGGAGTCAAAAGTACACTTTCCGACGGAGCAGGGTAGTCGTTGTCGTTGTCACTGGAGCCGACACACAGGGGCCCCCATGTGGATCATCACACACGCACGGACAATGTGTGTGCCTTGTGTATTCCTTCCAACACAAGCTTCAGTAAGATTGTAATCTTTCTACATCAAACAACACAAGATTTGAACATCTAGTGACCTTTCCTAAAGAGCTAGGTTCTTGTGAAATTTGAAAATGGATAGCGCCGGACGGTGCGCGCGCTCGTGGGATTATGGCGCGGCGGCCCCTCTCTGCCGCAACCTCCCCCTCCCACGGTGTCGTGGGGTTTCGACGCGCCACCCGCTCTCCCGCCAACTCTCCACCCGCCCCGCACAGTGTGGTGGGATTTTGGCGTGCCGCCCACGCTTCCTCCTCCCCTCCACCCGCACCGCACAGTGGGATTTTGGCGCGACGCCCATGCTTCCGCCACCCTCTGGCCCCGCATGATCTAACGGTATCAGACTCCTTTGTAACGGTACTGACAGGACATTCCTTATGTTGGTTGTTTGAGTATAGTTTCCAAAAATAACGGTATCGACGCACACAGACTATATTCATTCTTCACGGAAAATGCTAAATTCTCTCCCGGGCGTCCGGGTTTGTCTTCTCCATGCTCAACACAATTGATATGCCAATATTTATACAAACAGTTAATGGTATCTCTAAGCAGAGTCAAAAGTACATTTTCTGGCGGAGCAGGGTAGTCGTTGTCGTTGTCATTGGTGCCGACACGCAGAGCCCCCATGTGGATCATCACAACGCACGGACAACATGTGTGCTTTGTGTATTCCTTCCAACACAAGCTTTGATGAGATTGTGATCTTTCCACATCAAACAACACAAGATTTGATCATCTAGTGATCTTTCCAGATCAAAAGGGGTATGATGAAATTTGAAAATGGCTACAGTTATATGGTGCACGCGAGGGGGGGGGGTATGGGGTGATAACACCTCTCTCGCCACAACCTTTCCCACCCCCCTCGCGCCGCTGGCAGAGCAGAGTAGCCGTTGCCGCTTATGCCGACATGCGGGGCCTGTCGTACGCTCCCCCATGTGGATATGCTCGTCACATACAAGCTTCCACCAGATGCAAACTTTCCACATCAATCTTGGAGTCATCTTGTGTTCTTTACAGCACAAGATTTGATCCTCTAGTGATGTTTCCAGATCAAAAGGGCTAGGTTTTGACAAAATTTGTTACCAAAAGAGAGGTAGGATGTGATGAAATTTGAAAATGGCTACGGTCGGACGGTGCGCGCATGGGATTATGGCGCAAGGGCCGCTTTCCTGCCGCAAACTCCTCCCCCCCCCTCCCGCACCACCGTGGGGTTTTGGCATGCCACCCGCTATCCCGCCAACACTCCATCTGCCTCACACCTTGTCGTGGGATTTTGGTGTGATGCCTATGTTTCCGCCTCCCCTCCACCCGCCCCGCACATTGGGATTTTGGCGAGATGCCCATGCTTCTGCCATCCCCTATCCCTACATGATCTAACGGCATCGGACTCCTTCGAGTTGTAATAGTACCCACTCGACATTCCTTATGTTGGTTGTTTGAGTAGAGTTTCCAAAATAACGGTATCAATACACTTGGAATATATTAATTCTTCACTGAAACGACAAATTTACTCCCAAATGACCACATTTGTCTTCGCCATGCCCGACACAATTGATACGCCCATATTGGTACACCAGGTAATGATATCTCTAAGCAGAGACAAATGTACACTTGTCGGCGGAGCAAAGTAGCCGTTGTCGCTGGCGCTGACACGCGGGGCCCATGTTATGCTTGCTATGTGTGGATATGATCGTCACACACAAGCTTCCACAAGATGCAATCTTACCACATTAATCTTGTAGTGATCTTGTGATCCTTCTAACACACCATTTGATCATCTAGTGATCTTTCCAGATCAAAAGGGCTGGGTTTGGACAAAATGTATTACCAAAAGAGATCTAGGTTGTGGTGAAATTTGAAGATGGCTACGGTCAAACGGTGCGGACATGGGATTATGGCACGACGACCCCTCTCCTGCCACAACCTCCCACACACCCCTCTCATGCTGCCGTGGGGTTTTCGTACGCCACCCACTCTCCCGCCAACCCTCCAGCCACATCACTGTGTCGTGGGATTTTGGCGTGACGCACTTGGTTCCGCAACCCCTCTATCCGCACCACATGGTGGGATTTTGGTGTGACGCCCATGCTTCCGTAGCCCCATGTTCCCGCATGATCTAACGACATCAGACTCCTTCAAGTTGTAATGGTATCGACTGAACATTCCGTATAGTGGTTGTTTTAGTGGAGTTTCCAAAAATAACAGTATCAGCGCACATGGACTATATTCGTTCTTCACGGAAAATGATAAAATTTACTCCCAGACATCCTGATTTGTGTTCTCCATACACAATCGATATGCCCATATTTGTACACAAGTTAATGGTATCTCTAAGCGTAGATAAAAGTACACTTGCCAGCACTGCAAAGTAGTTGTCGTCGTTGAAGCTGACACGCAAGCCCCCATGTGGATCATCACACTCGCAAGGACAACATGCGCTAGCTTGTGTGTTCCTTCCAGCACAAGGTTCGATGAGATTGCAATCTTTCAACATCAAACAACAGAAGATGTGATCCTCTAGTGATCTTTCCAGATCAAAAAGCGTAGGTTTTGACAAATGTTGTTATCAAAAGACCTAGGTGGTGATGAAATTTGAAAATGGCTACC